AATTTCGGGTTTGATTATAGGTAGCCAAACGGCAAACCCCGATCTCAGGGAAAATGTCGTCTAAACGTGTGTTGTTGTTATATATATATTGTATATATATATATATATATATATATATATATAACAACACACGTTTAGACGACATTTTCTCTATATATATTAATAATAGTATATTATTAATATAGGTATTAATTAAAATTAAAATTAACAATAAACGTGAAAACAACTGAAGGAATAAAATTCAATAAAAAAATAAACATCAAAAAAACCTTAAATAAAATATTAAAATAAAACAATATTAAAAAAAAATTAAAAAATAAAACCGATCCCAAATAATTATTTATAAGTAAAAAAGGTTTAAAAATCGCATCACGTCTCCTATTACAATCAGCAAACTTTAGACATGCGATTTTCGATTTCGCAAAAGGCCCGCAAACCAGAATTGATCTATAAGCATATTTTGTAGACAAACCTAGTTACGTCCCACATAAAAGAATTGCGCAACATATCTACTAGTGTGTACAGGGCTTAAAGCTTAAACTAAAACAGAATAAACAAACTCCAAGACAAGTCATGAAAAATAAAAAAAAATGCAATAAGTCCAATTTAACGGATGAACTCCATTAAAAATATTTACAAACGGACTAGACCATGTGGAATTTTCATTCAACATAGTAATTATGTAACAACGTTAAAGCAACATTACATTAAACATAAAGCTATAAAAACGAAAATGATATACTTGAGTGGGAACAAAGTTGCAAACGCTGTCCCTCTTTTGATCTGGTTCATACTGCCTCTCGTTCTTTTCTGCAAATTAATATCAGCACAAAATTTTGTAACATACCAAGAGGTTTTTAACCATAACAGATAGGTCTAAATGTGTTTTTATGACGTGACTAAAACGCGTAGACTTATTCTCAGAGCCGTATTTACCAATAGACTAAAAAGGCTGGAGCCTGGGGTGACAAATTTTAGTGCCGGCAATTTTTGCTGTTAAACAAATAAATTACATATAAATTATCTTGAATTAAAATCATGTTTATGCAAGATGCCAAAAATTAATATAGTGTCATTTAGACTCGTGTGGTCTGCAAGGTTATAATGATAGTTGTGATTGCGCATTTTTGTTATACCTATTAAGTGTTGTTTGCTAAAAAATAAGAAAAAAGTTAAGTAAACAAGGGACGGCAAAATTTTTCAAGCCTAGACCTCAAATTCTTAAATCTGCCTCTGCTTATTCTGGGTAATGTAAATTATATGGTCATGTTGTGGATAAGAGGAATTATTTGAGGGTCATATGACTAGCTATAAAAAGAACATATCTGAGTCAAATTCAAGTGCAATTTAATCTGTTATTAAATAATCATAACAAGTATTGGAAGTTTTGTTGGTAAAATAAAAGATTTTACCTATTTCATTTAAAAATAAACGTTGATAAAAAAAGTTAAAATACTGACTTTTGAATAGACCGCTTGTGAGAAATTCAGATTTCTGCCAATGATAAATTTAAGTTTGGTTACAATAAATCATCATGACCATCATCATCAAAATATTTACAAATATTATTGTAGCTTTCCCTATCGTCAAGTTATCCAAATTCCGTAGGTTCAAGATTTCTAAAAGATAAAATACAACTGCTTCAAACAAAAATTTGTTTAAACGTTTATTCGAATGCAAACAGTAATAGAAACAATGAATTTTCCGCAAATCACAAATTGCGCAAGATGTCGCACGATCGCCAATAAATCAGAAAATTGGTAATGAAGCGATGAAAAACTTATCCTCATCAGCACTATAGCCGTCGTTGAAATCATCATCCAGGTATAAGAAGATCAAGCTTTCCTTTCAAGTGCGTGCTAGAGAGGTTTTCTCAAAACTTGAACTATCATCTGTCACCAATTCGTGTTCGGTATGAATATTCGCATCGGCAGTAACATCACTCTCACTGATAAACATCTTATCCAAATTATCAAAAGTTGATTCGTTGGTGAGTATTGCATTGAAATCGTTCTTGCAATTATTGTTACTGCAGTCGTTATCAATGAGACTTCTGTAAAAAATGAAAGCAGATAAGTTGCTGTCACCAAGATCCGAGTGGTAGTCCCACTGCACATCAAAAATTTCAATGTTTTTGTCACTCTGTCACTGCCAAATTCTTCAATATTTTCAACAACTTCATCGTCGTCTTAGTCATCATCATTATGATAGAAATGAAACGCATTGGAAATAAAAGCAGGCGAGT